CAAAAAGTCTGCTTTCTTCTTACTCTTCAAAGGCATTCACAGGAGTAGATTAGTGGACAGAACCAAGAAGCAGATTTTCTCAGATATTCAGGACACTTCCCTTAGACTGTGACTCTGGGAGTGTTTTGCCTTATTGGGAAAAGACATCTATGTGGGGCGTAGGATGGTGGGCAACAGGATTGTCCATGGAAAGGAAGATGGACTTTCCCAGGAAATGAGGACTAGGGGGAGGAGTCCTACCTGTAGGTGTGAGTATGGTCTGTGGAGCTGCAGGCCAGACAGAGGATGTGAAGAGATTTCCTCCATCTGCAGAAAAGAGGGTAAGGACAAAGAAAAGTACCACCTTTTTAGTCACTGCTAGACAACCCCTTCCCCTGTCTTAAAGACATGTCATGGACATAGTGCCCTGTCACTCTTTTTTTTTTTTTAAATGTTTGTTTTTTTTTTTTTTTTTTTTTTTTTTTTGGTACTGGGGATCGAACTCGGGTCCTTGTGCTCACGAGGTAGGTGCTGGAACCACTGATCTGAATCCCTGGCCCTATAAGATTTGGTCTTGATTGACCTTCACAACAAGTCTTTGATCTTTTTGCTAATGAAGAAAATGATTCAAGGAGTTCAAGTAATCTGCCCAAGGTCAAATACCTAAATTTTGTTTTTGTTTGCAAGCTCTATATTAACTGACAAGCATGACTGAGGTCATCTTTCCCATGCAAACACAAATGTGACCATCTTTTCCAAAACTGTGGAATACATGAAGTTTGTGAACCCTCTAGTTTGTGGGATTTGTTAAAATTGAGGAGTTCCTGAAATTCTAGCGTCTCAGATTCAGGGTGGTTGTAGGGTGGGACAGGATATCTTAACAAGTAACTGTGGAGAGTCCTGGGCCCAATGCAGTTGAAAACTCATGCGGTGTGATTTGGGGTCTTCACTATTGTTGTCCATGGTCTATGAGTCCCTGATGATGCTATGACAGATTTAGTGAGAACTAGAGGAGCCCCCCAAAGAAGGGACAGGGATAGTTATGGAGATGATGTAAGTCTTTGATAGTGGTTTTACCTCTACCCTTTCCCATGTATCCTGAATAAAGACCTCCACATGACCTGAGCACATCCTGTGCCATTAAGCAGCCTCACCCCTATCCATGCTCCTGGGCACAAGCATTTACAGTGGGAGCTAGACTCTGGGTTCAGGATATTGCCTTGATTATGTTATACACTTGTTCTTAGCCAAAAGACTGAGAAGTGATAACCTTGATTCTGTTATATTAGGCTCTTGGGCTACTGTTTCCATATATTCATATCAACTACATACCACAAAATAGTGATGATGATGATATAATGATCATACTTCTTCATGAGTATAACT